TGGCTTGCATCAAACTGCAGTATGTCACATCTGATATTTACAGTAGTTTATGTACTGAAAAAGGATGAGGTGAATTCAAGGTCAGGAGGATTCTGTAAACACTATTCCTGCTGTTCTCTGTAATCCTGTGTGCATGTGTAGGGAATATTCCAATTTCTTTTTCACACTTGTGGGTACTCACTCTGGACCCTACCTAAATCAGTGCCGAGCACCTGCAGACACCTGCAGGTGCCAAAGACCTTCCCCCAGTCCATTTCTTCTCCATAGTAATTTGATGAGCTGAAACCTTATAACCATACCTTCCTGCCCTGCCCCAAATCTTACAATGGTCCAGTCTGGACTTGAGCTCTGTGGCTCATTGCTGATTTTGACCATTAATTTCTTCCTCACTACAGAACATTCATAGACTGTGAACTTTGCAGATCTCTTGGAGAGAACAAACACGTAATATGACATTGCACCACCTGCACAGGAAGGACAGCCCAGTGGTTATAATTAATCATTATCCCAAAGGTGACTGTGGTCTTCTGCCTTTGACAGAATACATGGCTACAGCCAAAGTCTGATCTCAGTTACACACACAGAAATCAAAAATAATTTCACTGTATTCTCTGATGTAAGCAAGACCAAGGTTCAGGCTTCAGTTTCTTTTTATTTTTTGTTGTTTTTTTTTTCAAAATATGATATTCCACCAAGTTTCTGATCATAAACATTCCAAGTCTGTAGTGAAGCATACACAATGAAACTCTCTTCATCAAGATTTGGCAACATTTAAAGTATGTCTGCTGAAACTTACAGTAGAATAACATAGACATGGTCAGATACATAGATAATAAATGAAAATAGAAGGGAGGAAAGAAAAGATGAAACAGAAAGGGCTCAAAGAATGTACCAAGAAGATAAAATCAATACCTACTAGAATGCAAAAGCTTCACCTCCTTGCCTGTATTACTTGTATGTCTTAAGTTTTATACAGACATACAGGTTTCTAAACAAATGTAGATTGGGCACCAAGAGATTTGAGTCTTACTGACATTACCCTGATGAGCATTTCCCCTTCTTTGGAAAAGTGATCTATGGACTTTGTGATCCTTCAATATATTTCAAAACTTGGGAATCCAAATCTCTATTAGAGATGCTCATCCAACCCCTTGTGACTGCTCACTGTGCAATCTCCTGAGTGTAGGAGTGGTGCCCGGTCTGTGTCAGGCTGTGGACAGGAATGTCAGGGAGACATGCATACAATGGAAATCACCACAGTCCCTGTGTGCATTACTCAGGGCTGGGGACAGCCAAGTGGTGACACAGTGGTGGCAGGTCTGGGCATGGAGAGCTGCCACTGAGCCAGCAAGCTCCTCTGTGCTTCCTCTGGAAGCTGCTGACATATTCCCATGTTCCAGCCAGCAACCCCCAAATGTGCTCCTTTTCCCAGGCACCTCCCACCTCTCCTTCCCCACATTGAAACATGCCAGCCAAGCTGCATCCTGCCTGGCATGGGGCTCCTGCCCTGCCAGTTGAGGGTCAATGTAGTGTTGAATAACTGGGGAAAGGGTGGTGCCCATGCCCAGAGCTTAATGGGTGGCCTTGCCTCCAAGTTGTTTTCATCAAACCCAGATGGTGATGTGTGCCAGAGTCCTGCTGCTTTTCTTCCACATGGGTCTGCCTCTGAAGGCTAGGCCCCAAGGCCAGGGTGTCACAGACCACGAGTAGCGTTATGACGAAGTGCTGGCGGGAGATTCTGGCTTGTCAGATTGTGGTCTCTTCTCATGAGAGACCTATCAGACAGTCTGACTTAGCTCTTCATCTTGCTCACTGACAGGGCCTGAACTCACTGACAGGGCCTCTCACAACCAGCAGAAGTGACCTGCTAAGGTTCCTGGTGCTGCCTCTAGAAAGAACTCAACTAGAAAACCATTATTCCTCTCCTGGTACAGCCGGGCCAGAAGGCAGACAGTGATCTCCTCTGAACCTCATGTGTGATTAGGACTGTGACTGGGCCTGAGAGTGCACCTTTTTTGGGGGGGTGTTATATTCTGCTTTTCCTTCCCCCTCTTTTTTTTTTTTATTTTTTTATTTATTTTTTTTTTAAAGAAAAGAGCAAAAGAGGGAAAAAAATATCCATAATTTGACCCAAAAGATCAAATAGCATACCAGAAAGCTAAGTGTCTAAATGTTAAGAAAATGCTGAGTGTATTTATGCCAAGCATCCTTGGAACTGTTCTCATGCAACATAAGGGTAGCTGTATAAGCATCAGGCTTCCCTGGCACATCACAGTTTGGAAAATTATTGAAAGCTTCCTTCTTGAGATGTAGGGGCATCTCGAGGAAAGCTTGCAGTGAACTAGCCTGTCATTCATACATTGCTGGTCTGTGGTGCAGGCATCTTTCCTCCAGATGCATGCCATGAGTGTAAGTAGCAGGTACTACATAAGTATAACTGAGGAATAAAGGACCTCTCATTGAGCAGGTTACTCAACAGATTTGTCAAGCAACTGTACTATTGTGAGCAGAAGCAACCAGTTCTGTTCTCTGTAATCCCTGTTTGGGACTGCATTTGCAAAGATCTGTTTCTCCTCAGAAAAGGCCAAAGATTTTACGTAGTCCGACTGATCTATCTGCATCTGACATTCTAAAACTGGTTTGCAATATTAAAGATTAATTTTAACTTCTAGATTGACTGCTATAGTTCAGAAGATCATGCTTCTTGGCAAACCTCAAGTTCCTAGCAAACAACAGAGTCAGGGTCCACTTTTTGGAGTCGTGGCGGGCAGAGGAAACAGGAGTGATTTGTAACGTTGCACTCCGGTAATCAGTTCACCAACTTTAAAGTGGTGCTAATGAGCCTTGCCCAGCAAAGGCTGTAAGCCTTAACTACTGACTGGTTTTAAAGTACTCGGAGAGCTCTGAATGGAAGATGCAGTAGAAGTGCAAAGTATTATGGTTATTAGAGTCTGTCAGAACCCTTAGCAGTCCGTGTAGAGTTCTTAGAGGCTCTCCAGCACTTACAGTTCTTAATTTCACCCTGGGGGACTTTCCAGTTACTTCAGTACCCAGAAGCCCAGAAGAAAACTGGATATCCACTAGACTCACTTTCTTAATATATTTCTCTAAGCATATACTGATATTCAGGACTCTTCAGGAAAAGTAGTTTAAAGCTAGAAACATCTTCTTTAAATATAGCCTTTGCAACCTACACATGCCTTTTCCCATAAGCTCTTTTTCTGAGTCTCTTTCCTCTCTTTCCTTAGGACTCCTGAGTCCTTATCCAATCTCAAGTATTTTCACTCCTCCCTAAACAATATACATTCATATACAAATGTAGCTGGAAATCAGTTGCCTACCAGGAGATGTAATCTTGAAGTCATACTGAGGAAGGATTCATAGTTTTGAAGGAAGCTGATCAATTGCAGATAGAGGAAACCTTTTGAAACCTTAACCAGATGAGAACTTTTACTTCATGTGACTCATATGTAAAACCTGCTTAGAACAGCATTTTAGGAGAAACATCTAGTCAGAGCTTACTCTGTCAACTTACAGAAATAAATAAAATATCTGATGTGTGTTTCTAGATGTAATCTGCTCTCAGAAGCTACAAGACATTGTTCCACCTCAGATGAATGCAATAGTACTTGGTAATACCAAAGACATGAGAAGGATCCAGAGATGGAAAGAATGCCAGACTGTCACACACGGAATTTGCATTATTTTAATGAATAAAATCATTATCAGTGTTGAGGCTTATTTTCCATGCAAGTCAGAGCTATAAATGACTAAATCATCATAATGCTATTGCATGACAAGAGTTTAAGGATTTCAAATTACGAGAAGTGCTTATATTGCCACCTGCTGGGCTTCATCGCTTCACGAACATACAAGGCAGACCAGCAAGGTCTTCCACAAATGTGTGGTTTTTCAAATGCCTCTTGCAGATATGGCGTTGTCAATCATTTCAATGAACCAATAGAGTCACAGAGAAAAAAAAACAACAACAAAACCATCAGTGTTAAGCTGTGAAACTCCAAGGCTTACCTGGAATATGCTGACATTGTGTGCACCCTAGACTTGGAAGTTAGTTAGTCTGGGGTCACTTATCAAGGACCTTGGGATGTATGCTACCACCTCCTCTTCTCCACACACAGGTTTTTCCTTGGAATAGCAGAGTCTACCAATATTCGAGAGGATCACATTCAGGAAGAAATCAAACTATAGATCTGATAACGCTCCAGAAACCTCTTAGTTCTAATAAAAAAACCTCAGGACATTTTTAACACATATATATCGTTGCTGGAACTCTATTCGATAGAGCTCTCTTCATTCTTCAGTCTTAGAAATACTATGCTGCCTAACATTATACTTGTCATGTATTCATCATCAAGCCCACAGATCTTCTTCAGATCCTTCCTAATACTTGCCAAACTTCTGCGCAAGCCAACAGCTTGTTCCAGCATTTAGACAGCTTACAGTTCTCTAGTTAACACAGCTGGATCTCTTGAGGTAGGAAAGCACCTAACTCCTTTGACCACAGACTCACAGGGGAAGTAGAAAGTCCTCTTGAAACGAAATTGCCTTACCAGACCACTCTTTACCATAGTCACATTTCTGACAACTGTCTAGTCTCTCTGGTATTCAGGTCAACTTCACAGGCCATACTGCATGGAAAACTAAAGGACCTGCAGGTACTTTTCACTGACTTTTTCAGAAGAGCTGAGATAAGCTGACCTGGGTGTCCTGCCTTGTCTTTTTAGAAATCTAAATTTTGCTAAAGCAGATATTCTGGAAATTGTACTGGGTATTTTTAATGCCACATAAATGAGGACTTTGGTATCTAGTCTGCTATGTTACCTAATTGAGATAAGTTTGTAAAACATGCACAAGATCCTGGGCATGTCACAGTTAAGCATGCAGAACTGAAATTCTGTAAATACTCATTTCTACCCTTGAACTTGGTTTGTTTTTTGAAAATTCAGAGCTGAAATAATGGCATGCATGACAGACCAAAGATCTGAACAGACTGTCTCTTTATTCTCACAGCCACAAGTATGTTTTTCAAGAAATGTATTCCTTTTACATCTTATCTTCTCAGTGATACAATGTAAATATTACATTTTAGGGGATTAAAAACCCTCCATGTGGCTCTGCTATATTATTTGAGTGCATCCAGGTTATCATTTTGTAACGGGGAGTGTGCAGTGTGATCCATGTTTCTGACTCGAGCTTCTTCCATGCTGCACATATGTCATGGCCATATACTGAGAAGTGTAACTTCTCCAAGAGGTATTTAGAGAAGATACCTCTGTCCAAATGCATCAGAAAAGGCTAAATGGTGGAGGAGGAGACACAGGGAGGAAAAGAGCTACAGGGAAGGCTATGGTGGCTAACAAACCAGCACTTGTGCAAAGAGAGTAGACTGGAGAAGGAGATCTTGGATATCTGCTTTTATCAAAAGCTATATTTGGCAGGACCTTTGTTTTACTTTTTTCCAGCCTTTAAACAGCCTTTAAATAGACAGCAGTGAGTATAACTCGTTTTCAATTGGATGTATTACAAAAATAAAGTGTGAAACATGAACAGCCAGTTTCCTAACCATTTAGATTTACAAGCCCTATGAGCTAACCTAGGTAAATCTTTTTCCCCTTAAGGTGCCAGAGAAAGCAAAAAAGGCAAACCTCGTACTTGTTTTGAAATCAATCTCCTCTTTCTGATGAGACTGGCAACTTATATTCCATTTGAGACTGTATCTCAAAACTTTTTTGTCAAGAGATCTCTCACTGCTGCTCTGAAGATCTCATTATTACAACCTGACTTGGTATCTGATTCAACTTCCAAATACAGGTACAGATCATAACCCAAGTCAAATACTCTTACCTTAAGAAGCAGTTTAATCTTGTTATTTATTTGTTTTATTAGGCCCACATTCTTGGAGAGGTGGGACTACTTTTAAAAAATATGCATCTTTCAGTTTCTTCTTTTTAACTGCTACCTTTGAAGTACCTAATTCAGAGATACCACTGGCTACTTGCAATATTTTTCATAGCTTTTTAAAGCAATTTTTTATCCTGAAAATTATGTGTCAATTATTATATTTCATGATAATATTTTAGAGTCTTCTAGTCCAATGTCCTACAGGCTGTACTGTAATACAAGGCTGGCCTAAATTTATTCATATTAGACCTATGCCTATGCATTATTTTTTTAAAAAGAAGTTCATGTTTGTAAAAATCCCATCATAGACAATCCCCCAAAAATCTCAGTAAACTGCTCCACTGTTTTAATGATCTGAGTTTCTTACTTCTGAGTTTGACTAGCAACAAATTCCTACTTTGGAAATTATTTAATCTTTTCTTCTGGAAAGAAGGCTCTGTAATCTGGATGTGTACAGGCTATCAGTGAGGCACTTCATCTTTTTTTTTGGAAAAGTTAAACAGTCTGGGCTCCTGGAATCTAACTTTTCAGGTAAATTTTCCAGTTCTGTTGTCAACTCTTTCTTCCGAATTCTATGAAAATTATAATTTTTTTTTTGAATGACAGAAGTTTTTTAAGAAATATAGATTTAGGATGAGTCCCTTACCCTTGCATGTTCCAGAGTCAACAATACTCTGGATATGTGTGTTATGACATTGACCAAGGAATAAATGCGTAACAGCATGCAAGAATTTAGATGGTCCATCAGGCAACTTCTTGGAGGGTTTTCCAGGCCAGTAGGTTTTGTTTTTTGGTGTACTTCATGCCTCTGCTGAATCCTGCCTTTGCATGATGTAGCTACTGTGTAGCTGAGGGTGGCATGTCTCCAGGCAGAGTAAACTCATTTGAACCCACTGTGGTTGATACAGCTCAGAAATACAGAATTCAGAAACCTTCAACAGTGAAGCCAAACTAATCACTTGGGCAGACAGGACCCTCAAAGCAAATACTGATCCACACAAAAGCCCACCTAGAACTTCTGTGCATAGACCACCTCCCCGGGTATTAAAACCAAAATTCTCAACTATGAAATTCTATTGTTAAATGAACATAGGCTATGAAAGCTTGTGTGCCATCATAAAAAACTGCAGGACTTAATTTGATTAAGACATATACGTGTCAACATCTGATTAATCTCTTAGATTTTCTGGCTCCATCCTGTACCCATCTGCTACTGTAGGATTTGGCTTCAGTGAGTACAGAACCAAATTATGTTTACAAATTCTGAACTAAAGCTTAAGCATTTAAATTGTCATTGGTCAAGAGGCAATGCCAAAAACATAATTTCTATATAGTGCTATATGCTTTCCAGGTCTGTGCCATGCAGAGAGAATTCACAGATCCATGTATGTTCTCATTATCTTTTAGATAGAAACTGACATTGCATTTACAAATTTTTTGTTCCTCAAGCTGTAGTTTACTAAGTACTGGTAGCCCTTAAGAAAAACAATTCAAGAAACTTTTTTGCTAAGGCCTACCAGGAATTTTGTGCCACTGCCCTTAAAGATGGAGGACTTTTTGAAGTTTGTATGGTAACTAAAGGACTGTGACTTTCAACTTTACACATGATACTTTTCTGCAGGTATGGGTTCTTTGATGTCTGCAGTTAAACTGACTACAATCTTCAGAATTGCTTTTATAAAATATCCCATTTTTTATTTGGAACTGGTAGGTTCAAATGGCTGAACTAAAAGATGAGTCGAGGCTTTTATTTATAATCTGAAACTGCATGGTCATATGTTTAATGTGATCGAACTTTTCTTGTCAATCCATGTTCTCACTTTCTGTATATTTTGTCCAGGAATAGTTCTGGCTGGTATCAGCACATTTGTGGCCAACTAGATGGAATATCATTGGTTTTGAAGTACCGGAAGACATTTTTCAGCTCTCTAAATGTGTTGTGGCAGTAGGAAACATGGGATTCAGCTGGAAATAACATTGAGCCAACAGTGGATGAGATAAGGTTAAAGTGACAAATCACTCAAGTACGGAAACAACGGAGGCAACGTAGCTCAATTTCTCATTTCCTTTTCCTCTCCTGCAAAAAAGTCCGAATGATACATGCCAAGCAATAATGAAAAATGCTCATAAGATCTCATTTTAACTATGTTGAGAGCAAACCACGAAGGTACTATCAGTGCTTCTCCCAGTGAACAAAGTTTGCAATAGAACTCACCATCACCATTGGCACAAACTAACACTGGGGCTGGTGAGCTCAGCAGAGAAGCTTGTGACAGAGTAACCTAGGGATGTGAGTGAGAGTCTTTGAAATGGAAGTCAGTGCTTTTTATATTTCTACATATTTTGGAAATCACTGTACCCACAAACTTGTGGAGGGAAGAGGACTGTACAATCTTTGAGATCCTTCTGAGGGCTGTTGCCTCCTCCTGAGTTTTTGCATGCTCCTGTCTCACCATCAGCCCTCACAGCCCAGTGCTGACTTGACTCACCATTTCTCAAATCCCATGTTAAATTCAGAGCTCAGCTGCAATCATGTATTAGCAGAGACAGCTCTTAATTTACCAATTCCTCATTTGACTTTTATAAAAGCTGACCTGGAAACCATACTCTAGGCTTATGGTTTCAGAAGCTCCCATACAATGGTATTTCTGGGTAACAACAGCGCATTAAAAGTACAGTTAATATTGGTACTTTCTCTGTTGTTTATAAACATTCAGCTCAGCTCATCAGGCAGATTTTATTGCTTTCTGGGATAAAATTCTAGAAAATAAAAAATATACACATGTAGAGTTGACAATGAAACACAGAAAAACTGTTCTGGGTGAAATTTCTGACAGATTTAAAATCATCACTGAGTCCAACTCTTAGAATGACACAGACTGACATCTGAATCCCACCAAAAGGAAGGGCTAAATTTTTAATGCCAAGGACTGCAGTGACTCTGCAAAGGCTTAGTTTCTTTAAAACACGCTTTTTCTCTTGAAGTGACTCTAGTGAACTTTGATGACCCACTGAGGGAGATGTAGCCAAAAAATGCTTATCATGTCTGAGAAATGAAAGTGGGTTCCAAGAAGTGGAAGAGGGGACATAAAGGTGAGATTGTATGACGCCCATAATCCTCCAATTACCAAACCACTTGTCAGCAGGCCAGCAGTTGGTGTGACAGCCTCAGGGTCTCATGGTGTATGTTGCCTGCCAACAGCTCCAAGGAGCCAGTTTAACAATCACAAACCAGTGCCCTAGTTCTTCTTTCCTCAGGCCACATGCCTTCTCCCAGCCAAAAGGAGGAGAGATGGCACTGGTCCAGCTCTGCCAGCACCTCTCATGGTTGGAGGCACTAGCAAGGACAGATCTGCAGGGTTTATACAGCTTTGTTCTGTAGAACAGAAACTGAACCTTTGACTCCTGAAGATATCTATCTTCAGACTATACAATCCTCATTCTGAAGATGAAAGGGCTGCTGAGGTACCATTGATTGTTTTGGAAATTATTTTCACCAAAGAATGCTGGTACCACTCCAATCTGAATTAACAGACCGCCAGGGCTGGAACCAGGAGCATTTCTCTAATAACAGAACAATGATATTACTTCTTATTTCACTTATTCCACAAATCACACAGCTTGATAGCTTGGAAAAGAAAAGTTGCTGGTACCCATATTTCATTTTAGTGTGTATGAAGGCATCCACTTCATCTGATTTTTAAGTACAATAGTAAGTGTGAATGCTCTGAGAAAAGTCATGCTGATCACAAAATACATAACAGACAATTATGGGCCTTAAGCCTGCAGACAAAAACACAGATGATATACAGTTTCTTTCATAATATCAGGAAGCATAGATTGCTGTTCCACAACTTGTACTGGATTTTGTCATACCTTTTGAATAACCTCACCACTTAATAAAATGCTACAGAGTAAGTAAAATAATAATAATTGCTCTCTGCTGTACCTTGTAAAAGTGAGTATTACTTCTTCTATGTTTTTAGCCTATTCACTGATGTGTTTTGGCACTGATTCTTCTACATAACAAAATAGCACCATCAAACACCTTCCCCACAGCTTTATTGTAGTATACCTACCCTTCTTGCCAATACTGGCACTCTGTTATGGCCACATTTGGTACAGAGGGCAGGGTGGTATTTTATGCCAACCATCTGAGACACTATGCATGTTTTATCTTGACATAAAAATATGTTTCCTTTTACAATGTTTGTGACAAAGATATGCTTCTCTGACTTATAATATTTTTGGCATGTTCAGTTTACTGAGCTGAGGATAAATCAAATGGTCAGCATCATTCTTAAGCACAAAATGCTCCAAGAAGAGGGCACTTCTGGGGTCTTTTCTAAAAGCAGCCAATTTCTGCTTCTATGGCCCATGACTGGGTCCCTTTATATGGGAATGTTTCACTTGTAGCAGTCAAGGTCTTCATGATGCACTGTCACACAAGGATATGAACCCTGGAGTGCTCCTTGGATTTAAGTTCTGAGTGGGAGTCCTTGAATAGTCTTGTGCTGAAAATGGACAAAGACACCACCTCCCTCCCATAAAACCCCAAAAACTTCAACAAAAATGAACAAACTTAATTAAAGGAGCTACTTGGTTTCTCTGATTAGTCAAGTTCAGCTACAGTTCCTTACACTAACCAGAGAAGTCTTTGGTAGAGGGGAAACAAAATTATCAAGGAAATAATTTTCTGTATTTGATCTTATCCTTTGGTAGCAACTGCTGATTTTCACTCTAGAGATTTCTGGAGCACATGATATGATTACACACTACAGTTTTGATGGCCACGCCTCTCAGCTGAATTTTATTTCTCTGGTGGTTTGTCTGAAAGGTATGGGTGCATGTGTGTGCCTTCATGCACACACACACACACACATTTTATTGATGCGTGTTTGTGTGTTAGCAGGCGTGTATTTGTATGCATGTGTGTTGCATCCACTTCACTTTGCAGGTTTTGGTTTACAGGACCTCTGGTGGACGATCAGTCTGTCTGGAAGAAAAGTACGCCCACAAATATCACATGGAACTAGCTGGGTCTGGGCGCTGCTCCAGGCTGCCTCATTTAAAGAATCAAGATCATAGAAACCTTTGGCTGGAAAATTAGAAAAAGAAAGTATCAGCTTTCATTCTGGAGACCCACATTCAACTCTTTATGGAAAATATTTTCAGGAAATACCTGTTGACTGAGCCTTTCAGTTTAACCAAACCATATTGCTTTTGCAAATGAAAAAGAAAAGAAAGAAGCAAAAGAGTAAAAAATACATAAAAAAGACTCTGTTTTTTGTCCCAGGGGTTGAATTAAATTAACTTCAAACTGAATAATTTTGTATTGTATGAGAGTACAGAGAAAACATCATGCTGTGTGTTATGATGTGCATTCTAAGTTAATTACTAACATCTTTACACACATACTATTATCAGCAAATTCACTTTTTGGCTTCATTTCAAGTTCTGTTTAATGAGCATGTGTTATCTGACCATGGCTATGGGCAGGAATGTATCATATTTGAGAATATGCTCTTTGCACTGCTCTGGACAAGGGGTTCAATTTTCTTCCCATTGAAGTTTATGCAAGTTATGCTAAAAATTGGAGTAAATCTTAGATAAGGCCAAAACCTTACAGACAAAACCTACAGTACTTTTAAGCCACAACTTCCTGTGAGGTCATTGCACTGATGCATCTACTGTGATCTAAACACTAATCCAGTCTTACCCTCAGTTATTTTCCACTGTGGGAAGAATGACTGCTTCGAAAACACGGGAGCATTCTTCAAACACTCAGATGTATTTTCAAGATTTTATTTGGGTATAAAAAAAATCTTGTTTACTTTCATCTTGAAATTGACTTTTCTTTTCACATACTATTGTCTCAAACTGATTTGCAAAAAGGCCAGGCAGGTTGCTTAATACCTGGATTTAGTTCTTAAGAGTTTTCATTTGAAGTACGTGCAGAAAAAAATCCACATGGCTTGAAGATGTACTTGCTTCACCCTTCTCAAATAGTATGACAATATAGATTTAAAAATCTAGGTTTTTCTTTGAACTTTTAGCAGTGGACAATTTTTAAAAGAAAGGCATTTGTGCATTTAAAAAAAATTCCATGGTTTCTGTCACTGGCACATGATAGAGCCCTTCATTAAAGGCCCATACAATTTTAATATGATTCATATCCAGTGGTTCACATAACCACAATAAGCCTTAGATCTCTTAATATGCCTGTTCCTAATGTTCTTTTTGTTAGAAGAGCAACCAAGTAGTGTTTCTTTTCTTGGCTGAGACAAATATCCCCTTTGCTTGCAGGAAATGAATGTGTATTTTCTGTACTTTGGTGAGTTCATGGAATACAAAAAAAAAGGGAGGGGGAGAAAGAGAGATGACTTTCTCCTTGCAGGCATGTGTTAGGCATTCCATAAACAAAACACTGTGTAATGAGGGCAGTGGTTGTCTTCTCGTGACACTTGAGTTTTCAGAAAAAGATTTATGTAAGTTATAAAAAGTTTTATGTAAGCAGTTAATATTTCTGAGCTTTTTTTGAACATTCAACAACATTTGTTTCATTCAACAGCAGGGGTAATCCCTTCTCCCTGAGCTGAGAAACTGTGAGACATGCAGTACATGCATGTGGTCTCAAGGTCAGTTATAGCATTTACCAGATGATCGAGAGTAACTCTTACGGAAAAAGAACAACACTGAGATTATTTTCTTGAGGCCAGAAGTATGAGGCAACTGCAGGGGGAACAACAATTTTAGCTCAAGGTACAGAGCTGATCAGGCTTGCATCAGCAGGCATTTGGGGACATATGCTGGAAGCAGGTCAATGTCCCCTGGGGAACCATAGGCACACAACACTTCACAGGAGATGAGAGGCGCCTGATATGACTCACTGCATAAGACAACTTTCTGATTCATATCTGGGAGCTTTCTGCTAGACTGTTTTCTCAAAGAGTTGCTGTCTTTCTGCTTCCACTCCTTCAAAATAAGAACAGTGTATTTAAAAAAAACCCAGATTTGTCCTTTTGCATCCTTCTCTTTCACATGGAATTCTCATTTTCTCCAATCTGTTTTACCCCAAAATGTGTAATAAGTAAAAAGTATTTAACATCTAAAAGAGCAAATACAATGAAAACATCTTTTGAACATATCTTTTACTGCAGATTCAACTCTGCCACTTGGCATCTGTTAAACAAGTTCTGATTTGATATTATTTGATCTTTGATTATTATTTTGAACAGCTGTTTAGTGTTCTTCGTGATCCTGCTCTCCTCTGTGTGTCTTCTGAGGACATATTTCTTTATACTGCTGTAAACTGACCTAGTGTATGACTCGTTCACAGTGAGTTGTAGCAGACTTTGTCTACTTTTCCAGACATTAGGGGAAGCTGAGGGAAATTATAGGGAATATAAAAAAAAGCATGTGTGGATTAAACGCCTATGAGGAAGTGGTCCAAACTTGGCCCAAAGTAGCTCAGACCAGCTGGCAGAGCCAGGGAAAGCATCCAGAAGAAAAGGTGAAATAACTTTACATGGGAATAGGGAAGTCCTGGGAACAGCTTCCAGGCAATGCACAGATAAGGATTTGGTTTTGGTCCTACAGTGAGCACATCCCCCCTGGAATACATACCAGAGCCTATCTCTGTGGGTGCTGGGGATCATCAGTGTTTGTTGATTCGAAGAAGTGGAATCTTACAAAACAGAATCCACAACACAAACATGCCAAATTGGCAGAATTAATTTTTTTTTTTACTACCTGTATTTTTTCTTCACCGTGTTTATATTACAATATCTCACAATGAAAGCTTCTAATACTTTTAAATAAAAGGGATCAATAACATCCACTGGATGTTGACTGTAGAAGAACATAGCTGAAGCATCTATACCTATGTTGCCTGAGGGTATTTTATTTTAATGACTGTATGTGTCAAGTCTGCACATTATTCTTGGATGTTTTTGCTTATTTCAAAACATACCTATATTCAGTGTTGAAAGGAGTCAAAAAGTAGTGATGTAGTGTTTTGATTCAGAACACACTGACACATAAAGGGGACTGCCCCAGGAGCCATGTTCCAGAGTCAGTGACTACTCTTACTTCTCACGGATGCTTTCCAGAATAACTGGATACTTAATAAAAAACTTAAAACAAGTAAACTGAAGAAAGCAGTTCTTGCAAATGGTTTATCTACTACTTTAAATTACTTTTTCTTTTTTTTTTTTGTTCCTCCCACTTTCTTCATCCCATATCTTAATTTAGTATGTATCTTACCTTGCACAATTCTTACTTCAGGCTTTTTAGGTTCTGGCCTTCTCAAGTGCTTGGGTAGGTTGTCATTCTCCTGGTGCCATTTTTTCAGGCATTGTGGTTCATGAATACTAATAGATTTTGTTCCATACTCACGACCACATATGTAACAAATCACTGTTGGTGGTCGTTTTATCACTTTTGCCTGCAAGTAACAATGGTGAAGAAGAATAAATATTGTTTTCAACATTAATTTTGAATCAGAATGATTGTGGATGAAAACAGTCATGTAGATAAGGAACTTGATACTTATGAAATCAGTGTAACTGTTTCTATCAATTTCATTTTTTTTGGATTCAGTCTTGAAGCTTGTAAGAGATATCGCCTCATTAACAGGTGGGTTCATTCTGCAGATACTGGACTGAAAATTCATGTGTGTGACTAATACTTAGCTATGTAAGTTTCATCTCCTATTTTCACACCTTCGAATTCATGGAAATGCTCAGTCTTCACATGCAGAAACAACTCTGCTTCATCAAGTTGCTGAGGAGCAGCATCCATCTTAAATGGTTGAAGCCCTTTTTTACAGACCAAGCAGAAGTAACATGTAAAGCAGCAACAAAAGCTTCCTCAGCTGAACACAGCTGCAGTAACAGAAAGACTCCATCTTCTGGCAGAATACAGCTCAAACCACTGTGTCCAGCCTTAGTGTCTCTCTAAAGTTGGACAATGAGGGCAGCTGTCCCAAGCAGTGACTGTGGTCCCTTACCCTATGTTACTTTTGCCACAGGTCAGTTAGTTGATGGAATTCTTGGCCTTTAAGGATTAAAATCAACCCAGGATATTTCAGGATGAGGGGCAAAGTAGGAATTGCTGTTTGTTTATCCCGAAGGCCTCAGTGTGAACTTTGTCAGTGACTGTAGCGAGTGCAGAACTGGACTCTAAGCAAGTTATTGTTTTCACACTTCAAATATGCTATTGTTCTCAGAAAAAAACCAGCCCAACAATGGAAGAAAAAGATTCCTCAGCCCCAGACCTCACAAATACATATTCTAAGGCTGAAAAATATAATTACTGTGGTACGGCAGATTATGGACTCGGCTGTGTCCTTAGGCATGTCCCGGACTAGGTGTGGTGTCAATACCAGCCCTGTTCCAGGAAGTAGAGTAAAAACACACTCTAGAGACAGAACTTGGAGGCACACAGATGGGTCTCACAACTGCCAGCGCTTCCTACACTTCTGACTGCAGAATACCAGTAAGAGATGAGCTATCCCCTGCCCTCTTAAACTTAGAGGACAGCCATGCCAGGCCAAACATGGGAAGCCTTTCTCACTCAAACAAGGGAGGTGGGGATTTAATTTTTTCCTCTGCTGCTGTTTAAGACAAAGAGTAACCTGTTCCAGTATTTATGACTCTCTCTGTCAGCCCATCAGTGTTTCAAGAAATTCTGGGCATTTCTTCTCACATTTACGTTACAGTCTGAAAATGTCATTAGTGAACAATCTGCATAAGCTTGCTTTCCTGTATCACACATGTAATCTCAATTACAAGAATACTACTCTATAAAGTGTATTTTTGCTGGGAAAAGGTGGACTTAATCTAGAAAGTTCTCACAGTGACTTGAACTACAACATCCAAAACCAGTCTCTCCAAGGAGATTTTCAGCCTCTTGACTTTCAAATGGAATTTTCTTAGCTACCTTTGATAACACAGTATTTATACATGTATATTTTCTAATAAATATAAAAACATATCCTTCTATTTGTAGGTGAATATATCAACAGCTATTGTAAGAACACCTTCTGATTTTTCACTATCAATTTTCACCTACTTCTTTGCTTCAAGTCTTGAGCTAAATCTTGTCTGATTTGGAGATAAGACTCTGGGTCCAGATAGAGTTGTTTGATGGCACTATATGTTTATTTGTAGGCTCTGGAGAGGTTTAGATAAGGATACTATAATCTGAATTCTTGAGGTCAGGGGACTCAATTCAGTGTGCATTCCTGTTTTGGGCATGTTACAGCATTTTAGAAATGGTTTCCTTAAAAAATGCTATGTGTAAAATCACTGGGAACACATTTTCCACACTAGTGTCATTAGCTACGTTCCTGCCATTCACTAAAATAGGTTATCTATTGGCTGAAAACTAGGAAAGAGCAATTTGATTTGCATTCGGTCTGTAGGTACTCTTTATATACCACCAGAAAGGGAAAAAGGAATCCTGGTACAAATGTTGTAGAACTCTGTTCAAGTAGATATGTCTGTCTTTTGTAACTTCCACAATAAAAAACTGTACAGAAACAATAGCAGAGACCAGAATTAATTAAAAGGAATCAGGTCACTCTAAGGATAGAATTACTTTTTTTCCAGAAAAATAGTGAGTTTGAATCATCACCACACATAAAATTATACTCACAAATCCTTCTCTGCACACATGTTAAAAACCTGAAAAATAAAACCTGAAGGAGATTAGCCTTACAATTGGTAGTAACAGATTTTTCATTTTTTAACTGTGGAATCCAAGATATGATAAGCTTTACTTGGAATTTCTACAGCTGATGATATTTACCCTTCATTTCTTTTTCTCTTCAGAGTGTGCTTATCCCAAATGTCACATCTGGAGGCCTGCAGTTTGAAATGAAACTATTTTTGGAAACACCACAATTTTCCAACCCAAACTACTCACAGGCCAGTGGCTAGGCTGTCTGCTCACTGCTTTGTTTTTAACTTTTAAAAAGGGTTGTAGGGAAGGTTTGTTCCTGAGGATATGTGTTATTATAAAAATACCTACAAATACCTAACAGTGTAGTTAGGCTTTCCTCTGGTGTCTCAGTATTTTCTTTTTTTCTCCTAGACTGCTAAGTATGTCTGCGTGACCATGAATGAAGTTATTTAGCTCAGAGGGCTATGCAACTATGTATTTTCAATAGACCTGACATTACTTGAGGTTAGCCCCAGGCTGCTTGTTATGGTGTTACATGAGGTCAAATCCTTCCATACTGCACAAAGCTTTTAATTTCTTCTTAAGTACACACAATAAGACTGTCTCCCAAACTCCACTACATAAATATTTATCATCCAGGACTGCACACACCTCTGCCTCTCCTATTTGTTTAGTTATCCACGTATTTTAATGGGAAGAGGGGAAGCATCTTGCTCTAGGACAGAGCTCTCATCATAGACTTGAATTGCCCAGGGAACAGAGGCTCAAGACAAGATAGATGCAAACACTTAGCAGCACCATTCTCTTGTATGAAAGCAGCCCTTTTCACACACTCCTCTCTGGAAAGTAGAAAGCATTTTGCATAAGGAACAGGGACAAGCTGTGGCATGGGGCTCATGACTATCCAAAGTTGCATTTCACACCCCACTGGAGCACTTTCAGCCACAACACAACAGCTCAAATGTTAGGACTGGTGTCCTATATGCCTGTGTATAAAATTTCTTTGAAAAGCAAGGTAATTTTGCCAGATGATGCTGGTAATTAAAGATATTACGACACTGGGAGCACTAGAATATCCCATTTTTCTCTTGATGTGTTTTATTTTAATTGAAATACATCAGCATAATGAACATGGCTTTTGTGTACAAAAAGAAAGGCAAGAAACTCAATCACTCCCAATGATAAGTTTCATTCAAACCATCTGTTCACTATCCATTCTCAACTAACTTTCCATATTTGAAAATTTGTTTGTCAGTATTCTCCTAAAAAGGTGTTCAAAACCACTGCAATCAAGGCACACAAAGCTTTTCATTGACTTTCCACCTTCATTAGAATTACACAGCATCTGAAGGAGTCTTCCTTTTACCAAATGCCTAGACGGTTTTATGCTAGAGTAAAATACAACATCAACATTGTTGCTACATGAATTTTCAAGGTTTATGCTGTGATAAAATGCATTGCAATACAGCAAAGGAAGATCAGTGAAATCTTTTTAGGTAGTTCACCTGATAAGAAGGAAACAGTAGATGGCAGCACCAGATGCTAGCGATACATCAATAGGCTTCCAAGATCAGCGTTATCTATTGTCAAAAACCCCATAACTCATATACACAGCAAGTCACTGGTGCTCACTTACACGTACCACACATTTTTTTCTATGAAAGAATAAAACACAGACTCTGTTCTAGTGCAAGTCTCAGTTTCAGTAGCTTCAGACATCACTTCTATTTTTAGGGGTATCACAGTAGAATTTCTGAGTCTTTAGGCATAGGCAGTGGTTTGGTTTACAAAGCCACACACGATCAACTCAGATGTGTTCACTGATTCTGAGAGCAAGAGCAGTAAGTGGAAGAGATAGTTTACAGAGGCTATTGTGCCTCCAGTTCTAAAGACATTTAACGCAGAACTGTGAAAGAGTTTGTCAGTAATGATACTGGTCTAGTTGGCCCTTCACTTGCTAAAGGGGAGGGAGCTCCAGGACAGAGGCACACAGACAGAAGTGCTTGCAGTTGTAAAGCTAAAATGCCCTTCACATGGTGTACTACTAAATCAGTCAAAACTTTTATTTTGCAAATGAAGAAAATCCAGTTTTATCATTTAGGGCATCTTTCACTGCATAAATTAATTTGACTGCAGCATTACTTCTCTTAAATACACTTATACAAGAGTTGGATTTTTTTTCAGTTAGTCTTTTCCTCTGATGTTTTGCTGAATCAGGACTTTAAATAAGTACTTAAATAATTCACGGTCACAGCAAGTAAGTCTGTTAAATGAGACAATAGCTGCCCCAAATGCTTTCCAGACAGGACCAAAACATATTGCCATTTCACTCCAGCACTAATGGAGTACTATTTTTTAACAGAACTAATAAGTAGCTGAGGAGCTGGTAAGGTGAACAAAACTAAAAACATATGTTGGAAAAAGATGAAGACTGTAGAGGGGACACAGACCTTGTCCCTGTTCATAGCAAATCTGCAGTTCTTCCATAAGCTTAGTGCTTTTCCACATCCTTCCATCTGTGGACCTTTCAAAATTTTCAACTGTAAATAGAGAGCCTCATGCAGAGAATTCAAACCTATGGAAAAGAGGCTTCCTTTGACCACTTCCTATAAGCTGTCTGCCAGTCCTGAAGAACTACTTGGATCACAGGATATTTCTTTCAGTCTTTCTGTTCTGCTCTCTGCCTTTAAGGTGAGCCTCTGCACAAAAGAACAGTTCTAAAAATATTAAAATGAAAGACCTCAGAGAGGTAAAATCAATCACCCCTTCTTGAAAGTCATTGTTAATAATAAAGTCCCTTAGAGTCTATTACAAACTGCAAGCTGTACAGCCTCATTAGTTCTGTTGCAACTGATGAACTGTAACTGCTTGGAAGTAAATGAGGAAACCTGTCGTTCACACAGAAGGAAGAACAGATTTGAACAGATTTCACTCTGGCTCTGCAGAGTTCACAGAACTAAAAAGTGGTAATAATGTTGTTGTTCAACAAGTCAGCAGATGTGACTGAATCCACACAGGGAGCAGATATGTTGTGCAAGAGGGTAACGTTTTTACAGAATCACTGTCAATGCCAAACCACATTCTAAACTTTTTTCTTTTTTTTCTTTTTGATGGCATTATAACTATAGCCAATTCCCCCACGCCCTTTTTTTTTTTTTAAACTACAGAATTATGTGCGATGGATTAAATTCTCTGTTTCACACCCATGCCTTTCATTGAACAATCACCTTTAGAGCAAAGACAGTTCTTTGGTAAAGGGTACAATGTAGTGTAAAACAAGAACATCACCCTTCCTACAGCTATAGATGCAGCTGTGCAGCACTTTGAACTCTTTGGAATTATTTGAAATTTGCTGAAAGAAGACCTAAGGAGTGAACCTTAATTTGCCAGTATCTATCAGTTAGTGGCCTCATATAGCATAATAAAAAAATAGTTCCTGTTGTCTTAGTCTCATGTGAGCTAGGGTAATGCTACTATCTTTATTTTATTCAGCAGCTGGTAAACTAACAGGTAACACCCTTTGATTTCTAAAGCATCTTTAGAAATGCTCTGCATACCATTGCATTCCTTTGGTGACTGAAAGAGCTAAATCTCATTTTCAAAAGTAAGGTAGGCAAACAGGATTTCAATCCCCATTTAAAAAAAAAATAAAAAGAGCTGTTTAATTTAGACACTGGGCCTAAATTTAGACAACTATCTTACAAAACTCCTGGCCAAAAGACAGCTTGTGCAGAAAAAAATGCAGAAAAAAATAAGCCATTTTCCAAAACTCTGTATAGTTTTTGGATAATGTGAATCAGCTTCTTTATTCTTGGGTCTTGAATCAAATTCAGTGGAAAGAAATGTGCAGTCCTACTTATTTTGTTGTTGTTAGACCCAGAGCTGCTGCCTTTGAACATGCAGTCCTCAGTAAACTCATGTTCCATGCCAAGGTTAAGAAAAATGGTAAAATATGAAAATCATATTTTGGAGTGCTTACGGGACAATGAAACACTGTTTTTCATGTTAATTAAATAAAAATACCTAATATCTGCTAAAAAAATAACATCCAAACCTTGCCTAAGCTACTCAATAGAATTGTCTAGGGAGCTATAGCAAACAATGGTCCCTCTTGGGGCATAACTCTTACAGGACCACAAAGAAGGAGAACCCAACTACTCCCTTTCAAAAAGAAAGTTGAAACGAATAAGAATAAGTAGTTTCCCCATGCACCAAGTATTCCACTTTTCTTTTTCTACTATTCAGCAGATAAACATTTTCATGGAACCAAAACGTCTTTCTGAAGGGAAGTGATTTTAAATTTGATGGGAAACCAGTCTCCCCTGGAGATCCAAGCATCAAGATGCATCCACACCCTTTCATGCAGCACATGCTTAGAAATTTACCTGCGCAGCTGATGCAGCCCCACTCATTCCTTGATGGTTCTCAGATTGATCATATCTTTCTGAGCCAGCTCCAGACCTTGGTCCTTTACCAGATTTATGAGCGCTGCTACCTCCTCTGCAACACCTTTCATGCACAGGAAGACGCTCAGGAAAAAAGGTTCGGCCACAGTTTCCACAGGGCACGAGCTGAGCTTGAGCACTCTGATAAGCCGCCTCATTTTCATCTGTAAGTGTATAGGAACCACCAGGAAGGACCTCAGGTTTCCTGGGCTCTGGTCTTCTAAGGTGCTTTGGTAGTTGATCGTTTTCAATATGCCACTTCTTTAGGCACTGGGATTCATGTATAGAAATAGACTGTGACCCAAATTCTCTGCCACAGATATAGCATACCTTCAAGCCAGGTCTCCTTGGTGGGAAGGGCGTTTGAGACATGTTTGAAAAATCTGACAGTTTTGATGCTATTGCAGTGCCTGGTCACCTTTACTGGGGTCCAGCTTCTAGATGTACTACTTTGGGAAAATTTCCGGGAAGATCTGCACGTTAGATGGTGCCAGATGATGCTCTGAGGACAAGGTACTAGAGATACTAGTAGGGGCTTCTCCAGGACTTGACAGAGCACTACAAGTTTTGTTCACATTCTTTTTCCTGGCATTTGTTTCCATGAAGGGTATGACATTTTGGGAAATTTCTCCCTCTCCTGCACATAAAGGTCTTGGGAAAGTCTGCTATTCAGAATGATCCTACATCTTCTTAATCCATTTTCATGAGCCAACATATATCAGGGACTTCAAAGCTGGAACACTACACCTAATAGCTGTTTCAGTAGAGAAGGAGGGTTTCTGTGTGTTTTCTGTTTGTCTTTTGTTCTTACATGATCCTGAAACAAATGAAATTAGTACATATTAATAAATGTCTTCTTCCTTGTTAAAGTTACCAACCAGTGGTTTACCACAAGGAACCTTAATACTCTTGTACTTTTAAATAGCAGATAAATAACGTCAAATATATCCTTACCCTTAACGCGCAGTTGAACAATGTAAATCTAAAATTCTAATCTCAGAGGACAGAAAGTCGTGAAGGACATGAAAGAAGATGGATTTGCACAAAGTGAAGCTGATGAAATGCAAGTGGTTTGAAGTATACTCAATAGGATTTATTTTGAGTTATTGATAGAACTGGTATTTCTAGCACAGTCCTTAATTTTATAAAGATAAGCCTTTTATGTTGATAGTTAAACATAATTTCCCTTTCTCCAGAGAAATAAGAAAAAGTCCCTTAGCAGAGGGATGTTAGTGTCCAATCTACAAAGGGACTGTCAGAAAGGAAAATTTTTCCAGTCTGTAGGTTGAAGGAAATTATTAGGTCCCTTTATTCAGCACTTGTGAGGTGGTGGCTCAAATTCTCTAACCAGTCTTGATTCTCCCAGTACAGGAGAGCTACTAATAAAATTGAGCAGGTTTATTAGTAAGAGCTAGTGACATGCTTTGGGGGCTGAAGCACATACAATATGAGAAGGTAAGGCCACTGCATTTGTTTAGTCTCAACACAGTACTAAACATATTTCAATTTTTCACTGTGCAGTCTATCCCTGTATACAGATAAATCCATGCTGTATCCCTTAAAAGTTCATTTCTTATAATATTTTAACCTAGTCCTCTAAGGATCAGAAAATAAAATTCAGACCATACGCATGTATGGTAGAGGCTACTGCTTTATTGCAAGAAAAAAAAGTAGCTAGCACGTTGTATAGGTAGGCAACTGCCGAGGACAGTCTACTTTTTCTGTAATAGAAGAAACGGTTGGCTAAATGGTCACCTTGTCGTTACCAAATATTCCAAACTTCATCTCATTCCTTCCAAATTTTTAGGGGGTTTCTAACTCACAAACTTATCCAGAGATTCCATTGACCTGTCTCGGTTCACTTTCTCAGCTGCAACCAACCAACCTGGATCTGCTCTTTACTGCTGTGTTGTTATGTCACCATGGAAGACTTTGTTTCCACTCAACAGCCTTTTCACCCTTATCACTCCCACCTCTGAACCCATGGGCTGAATTTTACTATCCGCAAGGGAAATGATGCAGTTTTTCAGATGACAAACTTAATCTGTGCCACAGAGACGCACTCAGCTCATTCTAGTCTCTCATAAATATTCTAGGGGATGTCTTAAGGACATGGGTAATAGTGAAAAAAGTCGTCACACAGGTTCATGTGCATAGTCATCCTCTTGCCAGGCACATAAAAAGTGTTTAGATTGCTGCATTGACACTGCTTGCTTAAATACTCACAAAGCTACATATTCCTGGGATACTTTCTTACTTAAAAAAAAAAAAAATCTTCTGTGAAGCTCAGATTTATTTGTAAGGCAAATTGGAAAATGTGAAGACCATCAGACCCAATGTGTGATTTGTACTGGAACGAATCTCTGTGAACAAATATGTTGCACTTAGCTGTTAAAAATAAAATTCTTGAGGGACTTTGCACTCAAAGTTAACACCTCATCTAAAACTCTATTAGATAACTGCACTTTGGGGAAAAATATGGTAACGTACAAGGATTTAGTATCCTCTGATGTCTCAAGCTATCAGGTACACATACAATGTATGTTGAAGGTTACACAAAACTGTAGCGCTGGAATTTTTAGTTCAGATATCAAAATAACAGGTTCAGCAGTATGTGAAATTTAAATCTGCAAACTAGTATTGAGGCTACTGTACTGCAATGCTGTTTCAAAGACTGGGACAGTTTCCAAGGAGGGTGGCCTGTTGGATGAATCCAAGTTGGGAAGTAGCCAAGCTCTTTAGGAGGATGAAGGGAACGGAGAGCCAGGGAAACATTAAAGGGTCATGAAGGCAGGGGAGATAAGGGTTATTGGCGGGTCACAGGAAGAGAGCATCAGAAAGTTCAGTTACATTTCAGGGAACTTCTGAACTTTGCAAGGTCCTATTTATGTCCTATTTATTGATTTATGTCAGACCGAAACTTTCTGCTACCTGAGAGGATTCTTAAAGCAACAGTGAACACTGAACTGCCTGCCACATGAAGAATGTTAGGTGACTAAATCTGTTGCCATTAGGAATGAATCAGTCAATAAAAGATGCTATAAACAATCTATTAACAATATAACTTATTGTTGGATTTCCAAGCTTGCTATTGTAAATACTTCATAAGAGAATTATGTTTCCTTGTGGGGATTACACCATTTGGTCTACATTTATTCCTGCCAAGTTGACTGTTATTATTTGGAAACTTCCTATAAATTCAGTGTGAAATGAAAAGGAATATGAGCAGTGCAAATTTTCTCTTGAGCTCAGTGGTAAAGTTGTGGAAGTAAGTCAGACTGTGATTTTACATTTCAAAACATAAAACTTCCTTATATTTTCCTTTCAAAAATGTTGCGATATGTTTTTCAATAAAGTGGGAAGGTACAGTTGATCACTGCATATAGCTGTGGGAAAACATTTCTCTCCTCTGCAGTTCCACTGAGGACAATACTTAAAAACAATCTCATGAACTGCAGTGATAGGTCATTTACAACTAGTGAAGTTAAATTTAATTAAAAACAAGTGAAATACTATGGATAGTTCAGCACCAGGCTGAGAGCTTCACTCTGACCAAAATAGAACAGAATGACAAGAGTGCAAATATCTCAGTACATCTCTAATCTTCTTGTCCTGAAGAGGGAACTGGAACTCTTGCACATTGTTTTTAAGCTTCATCTAACCAGAAATTGCAATAGCATTATTATCCATGCTTCACTAATGCTGCCTGCTCTTAGCTGCCATGTGTGATTCAACCTATACAAGTAAGTGGAAACTTCTTCCCTGAAATGGCCTTCTTTATGTCTTCTTTTATGTCAGTGTTGGAACTTGGAAGCAAAGTTGACACATACGTTTCCTATTTCCTGTATGCAGCCCATTTCTGAAGAGCGACCCTCTCTGTTTTTCATCTCTCTTGATTCTCTCATGTAAACAATTCCTCAAAACCCATTATAAGGTCATTTTATAAGCCTGGATTCCTTGACTGAATTGAAGAAAACATACTTGTGTTAGCTGGGGAATTAAACTGGCTGTTTCCAATGAATTCTCAACACTACTGCTTTTGACTTAGCTAGAATTCCACATTGAGACCTCTCAGCTGAAAAAAAAACAGAGATTACCTTATGGAAGAACACATTGTATGAAGCCTCCTACTACCAGGACATAACCATGCTTACTAAATGGACAAAATAAAAGAACAGTTGTGACAATTCTGTACAGTTTATGGATGCTGACTGATATCACAGACTTTCCATGTGTAGCTGTAACAGACTGTAAACTCTATTTAAACTATATGGCTGGCTTACTGTCATTGTTCTCATCTGCCAGCACAGAAAGGAATGAGATAAATCCTTGCACCAAATAAAAATAGAGCTAAAACAAAGGTCACACAGCTTTCAAGCTTATACATGTCAAAAAACAAACCAAAACAAACCCAAAACCCCTCTTAACCATGTTTGACTCCATCTAAAAGCAGAGACAATTTCCAGAGAAGACCATAAACAAGCAAAATAAAAATTGGGAACAACTGATTCCTTTACTACTTTTTTTAAAAACAGTTCTTGAAAAAGCTATGAGAAGGATTTATACGAAGTACTTGCTTGAGGTTACAGTGGCTTTAATCCAGGAGGCTCTTTGAAGAGTTCATCTACAGTTAGAGAGTACTTACAAAATCAGGACTCCTGTAACAGAGTTATGAGAAGGTCAGCATTGGTTGATCTGCCTGAGGAAGAGTATGAAAGGCATAAGAGATACATTAAATGAAGTGGAAAACGTAATGCTCCAAAATGGTGCCATCCGAGTACAACAGCCTGGTGAAAGCCTAGCTATAGATCATGCTGTCAGTGCCAAAAAAAGAAGAAACTAATTTTAGCTTGCAAAAAAATACTGGTTAATTCAGTATCTTGGATTCAAGAGTTCTTGGCTGTGTAAACCCTTGTTTAAGCAAAGCCCCACTTCACTCTGAGTTCTCCCTTTGTTTTCCCTTTCTTCAACACTACACTTAAGGTTGTATACTCATTCTGCCTGTTCATCATGCCTTGCTTGGAGCCATAAGCTTTCTGTTTGTGACATCACAGTTGTTGTTATGTGGGTCAATTAATAAGGATGATTCATATATATTGGACTAAATTTGCAAGTATTCTAAAGGAAAAGTTTTTCAGTTGTAATACCTAACTTTACTGTTACATAAATTTGAAATATGTCAAATAGCTTTATATAAGAAGCAACAAGCAAAACTTCCCGCACTACAGTAGTACCCAAATATCCTGGTTTCTCAGTCTGGGATGGACTGTCTATAAAGACAAAGGAGAACAACAACTCAGTCTAAACAACAACTCAGGATGAGAGATACAGAAAAAGAGAGATGAAGCAAGTGATCTGCTAAGCATAACAGAGCAAGTCTGAAAAAGAAGGAAATTAATCTAGATTTTCTAGCACCCCAATACTAAATCAGGCCAGTCGCAGGATTTTCTAAGGCTGATTCCTAACTTTACAGTCAAGATGAAGGTAAGTTTTTTTTCTCCACTCTACTGGGTTTTCATTATATTTACATATAAAAGAGGTGTCAGAAAGGACCAAACTGACATCCTGTGTTGAGCGCCAAAAAGCCTTGCTTCAGGCTCTTTCCAAATAAAATGTCTTCTATGAGGCTTCCTGTTATTCTCTAAGGGAAAGCAAATTAAATTAAACCAACATCTTAAGCTTTACCTTTTCTTGTACTAAATATTGTTTTGTATTGCTCAATTATAAATCATCTTAGAAGTCTGTTAAGACACAGTTCTCAAACATAAGCTGGACTAAAATATTGGACAATTTGTAGCATCTTACTGTTGGATCTGTTTTTCACTGAAAGATAAAAGGAAAAAAAACATTCTCATGTTTCCAACAATATTTTTAGCAAATTAACCACACATTAAAAACCTCACATTTTTCCAGCTCAGCACTGCATTTTCTCCACAGTTTCTGGCTGGAGGAGTCTCCTTTGACTAGTCCTAGAGACTAATCATTTCCTTCAGTCATGTGAAAAGAATAATCTATTATTTGATTGAACTCAAATAAATACCCCTGAGATGCAGGAAATCCATAGTTTTTTATGTCAGGATGCTTCATCTTGTCACAGCTGAGCATGATCCATACTTTTATGCATCCTCCTATCTTAAAAAACTATTTGCAATCTCTGAACATACAAGTATTGGCATGCACCCCCACTTCTGGCAGCTTCAAGACTTTGTAAGTCTGTAAAATCTAACATTGCAGCAGCCTGGCTTAAATGTCTTATGAGTAATGCACACTCAGAAACATCCAAGTGTAGAGCTTGTTCCATTAGGGGATCAGCTGCACATATAGTAATACCTTTTCCCCTATACCATCTGCAGCCCAGAGGCTGGTTGGTTACGCCTTCGTTAAACATGGATGCAGCCAGCTACAAGGACAAGGCAAGAACACTCAACCCCAAATATACCAGGCTAAAAAGCCACTGTTTTCTGACATATACAAACAGGCTAGAACTGTCTGGGAATTTTCTAGTGAACATTTTTCCCATTGTTTGAAGTGTTGGTTAGACAAAACTGAAACTTTCTTCAAAGATGTACCTCTGTGAAGTACACAAGAGAGAAGTCTGTTTGTGTCTGTGAGCTGTGGGTTCATTACAATGTAAGAAAAGGAAAATATAAACCCCAGAGGTTTTCTACAGAAATATTTAAGGTGATTTTTGTGATGAGACAATCATCCTAGTCAAAGTTTTTTGTAATTTTCCTCTGACCTATGAAAATAACCATGTCTTTCTTTGGATCTGATAATATTTCTACCTAAAACTTTACGGATCAATCAAAAAATCACATCAACAGTAGTCATTGTATACTTGGCATTTAAGAAGGCCCTATGTATAATTATGCAGTAATTAAATTTATTTTATTTAATTAGCTCTATTTGATTTCAGTTGATGACACTGTTACCAGAGAAAGCTGGAGACTTTTTGTAGTGACACATAAGTTCTTTCGTGTTACTATGTCTTCTGCCCAAACATAAGAAATAATTCCTTTGATTTGACTGAAATCCTTTACATAAAGGAATTATGATTCCTACTAATTAAAATATATGGGAAAAATGAAACATTTTTAGTAAAAAAATGTAATTTTTCAGACTTTCAACATTCAAAATCCTGGACCTGCTCCAATAACACCATTCTCTCTCAGATCTCCTTTATGCTCTACAAATAAAGTTGTTGCTTTTTGTATTTTACTTAGTGATGCATCACAACTCATCAGGGTGAGGATTACCTTTGTTTGACTCCTAATTCTTTAACACACATCTCATATTTTAAACAAATGTTACTCTGCCTTCACACTTGCTCTTGTGCAAAACTCAGCACAGACATATTCCCGATACGTGTGACACTAGGGATACTTATGCATCATATTCTTAACAACCTTCAATTAATGAGGTATATCTGTGATACTTAACACTCTGGAAATCATAAATGGCATATTGGATATGGGTCAAACAATGAATAGATTGGGTATGTTCAACCTGCACACAGCACAGGAGTATGAGAAAAAGCAGGCATTGAAGCAAGCGAGTTTACACAGCTCAAAGTGAGCTACTTGTAGTTTCTAGATCATGTCTCTGTTCAACATTTCCACTTCTGGAACTTATATACGTACAGAATCAGGCTGGTTCCCAGTGATTTTGATGATGACTATGCAATTACTTCAAGAAAGTATGCTAATTGTTAGGGAGAAAAATAGGTGGATGGATAAATTCATAATTGGTTCTCAGCCTGTTTGAAACAAAAGAATAGAAGCCAGGCATGTCAGCTTGTACAAACTGACACAAGTCAGTGGAAATCAGTAGAAGGATGACACTGCACATGTGCTGAGAGCCTATCACTTGAAGTGTAAAGTGATTCAGTATTGGAAAGACACTTTTTTCAATTATCTGCAGTAACACAGTTACATTATACAGGAGAAAATAATCAGTAAGGGTAAATGTTCTCATCTTTTATGGTGTAAATCAACCTTAATAATTTTTGAATAGAAAGAAAGTGATCCAGCTGATAAATGACTCTGTAACTTAAGATTTTTGCTACTTTTGTTATGAACAGGATATTCAAACAGATAATCTGATTACCATGGCGATTAGTATCCCCAGTAAGATACACCAGCTATTAAAATATGAAACTTAAATGATGAACAGAAAGCCACAACAGCAGAAAAGAACCAGAGGGAATCTACACAAGCAGATGAAACTATCCAAAGTGGAAAATGTCTAGAAAAACAAAACTCTGGACAACCCAATTATTTTGTGAAATGTTGGTACACCTAACAAGACATTATTTTGCTCATTGTATTATGCATGAACAGTACAGCACATCTTAAAACTTTGCAGAACAGTCATGACACAGTATTACAAAAAAGAAATGGCCACATACTGAATCTGTTAGAGACAACAGCATGCTAGGAGCGTTATCAAAACATCCATCATGTCCAGCAAGATACCTGACAGCATTATATCACTCATTTTTAAGGTTCTTATTTGTAACAAATCTCAAAAAACATCACTCTTTTACATTATTGTTCTTCTCTCCAGATTAAATCAACAGTAATTTATAATTGGTGTGAAAGGAAATGGTGGAAAAATGTCAAGTTTTACCTGGTACCCCCCGGTCCTGATGATTATATAATTTGTTATGTGTAATGATGATCTTTTTCCCACTCTGTATTTGCAGCTCTTATCTACACATCTGTCCATATAGTCCTGTTTTCTGTTTTATAAATCTTTAGTTAACAGGACTAAATTTCATGGGCCAATAGAAATACATATGGAATATAAGCCTGAAATATCCTCAGACAATGTGGCTTAAAGGAAGTGATATGTATGTCTGAGCTCCTTACTGTGTAACCATAATTTCACCCAGTCAGAAACCAGTGCATCCTATAATAGATCACTGCCCTAAGGAATTTGGTAAATAGAAAAGTAAATTTAAGTAAAATATATAAATTTGTTATGAAGGCAATGGTGTTAATTTGTAACTTGAGCAATCAGTTCACTGACAGTACCTCACAAACGAATTTTGTAATAAGTTTTAAGATAGACCATTTGGAAATGACAGTAAAGTTTTCTGTTTCACTTGCGCTTTCCAAACAAAACAAAATAAAGCAAAACAAAGCGAAACAAACTGGTTTTTTAGTAAACCTTTTCATTACTGTTGAGCACCACATATTTTCCAGGAACAGAACTGAAGAGATAACTTCCGTTATACAGGAGAATCAGTAATTATGTGTCAGGTAGAGTTACCTCTTACAAAGATAACATTTCTAGCTCTCAGTATCCAAATGGTTGGCCATGATTGTTCCAATTGTATTCTCCTGTCCTTAAAACACACCTATAAATTAACTCCATCCACTTCCCTGGAAAAGTGCAGAACTAGGTAGCCAGAACATCTGACCTGGTAAATGCTCACACACTTTTTGCCAGGCAAACCTCTGCAGAAAAAAAAAATCCAGAGAATAAATGCACTATCCTTGCAGAAAGCGCTGTTACACATGCATTTATTACCGGCTGGTTGGTCTGAGGGGTGAAAGTCACCCAAATCGTTGTTGATAGACCTAGTTATTTACAACTGTGTCCTTTATCTCTGTGGGAATTCAGTAATCTGGCATTCAGAGCAGGTACTGGTACAGTGGGATGAGGGCAACACGCAGGACTGCACTGTTTGAGCCCTGGCTGACTGACCTTCAGGCCAGGACTGTTACCAGTACCATCACCACAGTTTTACAGGGAAATGAGGTGAAAACTAGCAGAATTGGGTTGTGAGCTGAGGATCCCAAGGATCTGCCCGTGTCTACTTGCCAGGGACAAGAGGTGCTTGAACTTCGGGAGGGAAGGAAAACCACAGCGCCTCCTCACCCAACCACTGCCTGAAAAAAGTCCACAGGCTTATTCAGATCCAACGCGCAGGAGACCGTGGAAGGCATCGCATTTTTAGTGTCCTCCTAAACTCCCATTACCTTCGCTCCAAAGGGCGGGTCAAAATTCCCTCATGTCCCCAAGACCCGGGCTTCTCTGATGTTGTGCTTTGGCTCAGTTTGCCCCTTACGGAAGGAAGAAGAGAGTTGAGCAGCACAGTCGGGCACACATTTCCCGGCGCGGGGCACATTTAGGGTCCCCACACCCACCCCCGGTCCCGCCGGTCCCGCACCCCGGAACCGCGCCCGCGCCGTTCCCACGGCAACGCGCAAACATATGCAAATATATGCCGGCTGCGCCGCCGTTGATTGGTCCGCGCGGCTGTCGCTCACCGGCAGGGGAGGTGGCCCCGCCCTCGGATCCTGCCGCCCGCTCCTCGGCGTCCTTCTGGAGGGATGCGTGCAGCTCTCGGCTTTGGGGGAAATGGGGCTTTTCCTGCCAGAGAAGCAGGAGTATGTGTGTACGGAAAGTCTGATCGACCGAACACTTGCGAGCTCTTCCGTGGGAAGGGTCCTCAGCCAAGCTCTGCATCCATGAGCGGGGTCCCCTCTCTCAAACCTTTTCTGCTCTTGACGAGGTGAGAAGGGACAAATGGCATCGCCGTGAAGCTCAGGCAACAGAGAAGAATAAGAGAATAAGGAGCCCGAACTCCATCTTCGACAGAGGCAAAATTTCTCATGCAAAAATTCAGTTTTTGGTCAGACTCTTTCACGTTTTTTAAAATTTAACTTCTGCAAGACTCATATTTTCCATGGAAATTAATTCTACAGAAACAATGATATATAAATAATTGCTACAAGAAAACACCACTGGTTCAAACATTCCCATGGCAAGTGTTCTCTGATGGCGATGCTAAGAGCAAGCCAACAGTGCTGTTTCCATGCTACCCCTTTCTGCTTAACAAACTTCAGTTGTCACTGAAACCCTTAAAATGCAGAACATGTATCATTTGCTTACAGTCTTGGCAAGAGCAGTGTTGTGTGTTCTGCTAAGCAACGGAGATCTACTGCAAAGAAATTTTAGTACCTGTTTGAGACTGAAACTTTTGGTGTGGCAGGTATGCTGCTAAAGCAGATATGAAGCAATCCTGTCAAATGGGCTTCTACAACATTGCATCCTTCAATCATGTGAATTCCCAGGCTGGAGACACAAAAAGGAAAATTACAGAAGGCTTTCAGAGAAGTAAAATCATGTTGTCTGATCAGAATGAGTTGCATTGCAAAAAACCAGTATGCAAAGCAGGAAAGTGATAGTAGGCTAGGCCTTCTGACACTGCAATGCCAGTAAGATCAACAGTTAATTCACCTTTATGCCATGTATGGCAAAAGGTGTTTATCAAATGACTAGCACTTGGATCAAAAGCAAATGCCGTTTAACCTCCACTTGGCCTTAGGGGTTAAACAGAATTTGTATTGCACAAAATTTGTTGTCAGCATGACACAGAGCTCATACCGTTTAACACAATTAAAATGCAGATGGTCTTTTTACCAGTCTTTGCAGAATGCTTTGATGCCAGGAAAAATACATGAAAAAATTATTTCACCTCTGGCACTGATGCTATCACCGAAGACTGTTGGCTTCAAGTTATTTGAGGTATACAAAACTGTGATCACTGTACGTGACAGGTAAATAAATAATAAAGAATATTGTAGCTACAGAATTGAAATCCAGGAAGATTAAAGTTACCCTTTGCCTCACAGATCTAACAGAAAGTTTATGAATAGAAATATAAGTATGCTTGCATTTTGTAAACATCTACATTCACTTATGGTACAAAATTGCCTTTAATCTCTTTCTGTTTGTATCTTTTCAGTACTCCATTGTCAACTCTCGCTGTTCTAGATAGAATACAAACAACAGACACAGGAATTACTTTTACCAGAGGAAGAAAAACAGCATAAGTGAATTGCTTTCCATTGCGTATCTTCTTCAAGCCAAACTCAATCACATAGTGGACGAGATGCTCCTGGAAAAGGCTTTATTATATGAAATAATTTACATTTCATCTCCATATTTAATTAGGGCATCCTGGAACACTGGGAGGGCAATACAGAAGCCATGGGAAACTTATCAAAGGATATCAATGTGTCTGATAATTTCCCAAAGGGTCTGAGGAAAACATCAATAAAAATATTTGTATCTCAGCAAGACAGGAACAGCTCTGATATAATTACTTTGCACATATTTTTGTAACCATCATTTAAATTAATAACTCTTTTGTTTCTGTTGCCCTTTTTTTTTTCCTGCAAAACTCTGAGTGGGATCCTGAAGGTCAACTTGGAAGCAGCAGAGGAACAATAAACAAACTATGAGTATGAAAAATGCCTTAAAGAGCAGCTTCGATGGGGTGAAGGTGAGAGGTCATCGATTGCTAGGACTTCTTTATTTTCACTGTTTATTATAGCTCATTTGCCCATGAAGAAAAAACAAATGAGGAAAGTCCATTTTGTTATACATTTTTTTTTACTTTCCGGCTTGCTTTTCTGAAAGTTTGGAAATGTTTGTTATATGTCTTTCCCATTACCAGTCTTTCTTTTCTCCTATGTGTAAAGCAGCAATGTTAGGTTCTCTGAAGATTTTCCTATGACAACATGTTTTGTTAACTAAAAATTTAAGAACTTGACTATTCAACCCATTAAATCAGTCTGTGCTTCATATGATTCAGTTGTTGTGAAGGCATTACTTAGGAGACAAGTGTATTTATTTTTTGACATTGCCCTGGTAGGTGCCATCCTTTTGCTTTACTCTACAGATTAGTATGCATCAAAGCATACCTTCAACTGACATCTGAAAGGATATCAGGAAATGAATTACCCTCCGGGTTCAGGAACTTTTCTTTCCTGAAAAACAGAAAGGTTACACTGAGGCTGAAAGGACCATGTGCCATGTTTTCATTACCATTTCCAATGGATAACCAGAAGACAGAAAAGATGTTGCAGCTAAAAACACAGTTCAAACTTGTACAACCAGATTTCCCTTTGAAGCTGGAAGTTATCCAGGAAGATAGATATGGCTGCAGCTGAAGCAACAATCATTTTTCATTTAGTGAAATACTGCCACACATTCCAAGGCTGGACTATTCCAAGCAAATTACACAGTGCTAATGACATTCCCCTGTGTGACCACCTGAAAATACCTTGTGCTATTTTTCCGCAAAACCATATTTACCTCACAATTATACTCCTATGATACCTCTGATAATACTTCTCAGTAACAGAGAATTGTGGGAGAAATGTCAGATCCTCTGAATTAATATCATTAACAACAGGAAGGGAAATTCTGAGAAAGAATTTTGAAACTCCAAAATGCAGTAAGAGACAGGAAGGATCCTTTTTCTTGGACACAAAAAGAACAAATCCAGTATTTAGAAGTAACAGAAGAATAAATAGCAGCATAAAGATTGTAAGATGATTGACTTCTCAAAAAAATCTTGCAGAAAGAACAATTTTAATCGATGCATCAAATTTCTCTCTCTTGGCAAAAAGGGATAAAATCATTGGTTATTAAAGACACCTATATATAAATTTTTTTCTGTCAATGGTTGTGCAATACTTCAGCCATTAGTCTTACACTGCTCACTCCATCACAAAGGAGGCAGTTTATATTGCCCTGAACACTAGGATTAGTTTATGCTCCCTCTTCAGGACTGTTGTTGCAGGACATGGTAACCACATTTATTGGCCTGCCTTCCCAGAAGGCAGCCTGACAGTCATCACTCCACACACACCAGAGCACTCTGCTGCAAGTTTCCTCCCCTGACTGCCAAGAACTTCAGATGAATTGGATTTGCAGAAATCTGAACTCCTCGCCTCCTGCTCAGGGCAGCCCAATGCTCCTCTATACAGACTATACATTTCTTCCAGCCCTCTTGGAGGGGCTGACTCACTGCAGCCTCACACAGTCTGACATTCACTCCTTCTCCCTTTGCATCACATCCCAAATAGGCAGCCACCATTGCCAAAAGCTGTCCCAAGAGCTGGAATCACGTTGTCTCCAGGGCAGCCCTCTTTACCCTGATATTGCAGTGTCGAGCCACAGGGAAGCCAGTGCCCTTGGCATGCTGGCATCAATACCTACAGGCAAACTGAAACAGCAATCCATCAGCTGCAGAGAAGCCCAGCTACACACACTATACTTTAGAATGAGGCAATTTTCTTGACAACAGATGTTCTTCTTTCCAGTCACTCATATTACTGCCATCTGGAAGTACGCCCTTTGTTTCATCCATCTTTTGTACCTAGCGTACACTCTTCAGTTCATAAGCATCTTTCACATCATGAAAATAATAGGTAATGAAGGCTTCTAATAGAGCAGAAAAAGCTTAACAAAACAGCAACGACAACAAAAAGAAAAAGGAGGCTGAAGCTATATAAAGTGAAGTTAAATGTAGAATCAACATATTTTGAGCAACAAGGAAGGAACTACCAGAGGACAAACTGTTTAAATGCATTGAGCCTCATCACCTTAAGCCTCCATATGAAGCTCACCTGACTTCAGGAAAGACAAGCTCTAGGCTAGCAGCAAAATTAGCTGGATGAAATACTATGGAGCATGTTACCCAGTAGGTCAAACTAACAATCTGTTGATCCCTTCTGGCTCTAAAATCTATGACTCCAGTAATTCTTCTTAAGTGGTCCCCAAGGGATTTGAGCCTCTGTGACTTAAATCCCTACCACTTCTTTCTGCAATTACATGCTAAAGATTTTTATTTTTAGTCTATCAGCCTTTCTCTTCCAGTTTCTTCACCCCCACTAAAATGGGTCTACAAGCAGAATAGCTACAAGTGATATCCTATCCTCTCTCTTTTGCCATTCATTAACTGCATTGGAAATAAATAAACCATGAATAATGCCAGCAAAAAGGATTGATTTCCAGATCTTCCTTAAAAATCCCTCATAAGTAAGATCCAGAATTTAATTACAGCCAAAAAAGTCAAGAACTGCACTTAGATTTTTCATCCCATACTTCTAAGCCAAGATGTCACTAAAACAACAGCTGCATATTATAAATGTAACATGGACTCTAAAATCTCTCTGCACTCTAACAAATAGTGGAGAAAGTCAGAGATTCTCCAGTCTTCAGATGGGTTTGAAAACACTTAAAGGCCCTCCAATGTTCAATCTGTCAAGGTATCAGAGTACGCATATGCCAAATATGTAAAACAACCAACAAGGTCTTTTCTGAGAACCTGGATTTATATTCTGAAAGAGGACAAACAAAGTCTTCA